GCGCGAGAGCCTGGGCCTGTGCCCACAACACAATGTCCTGTACGATGCACTGACCGTGGAGGAACACCTGAGGTTCTTCTTGGAGCTCAAGGTAAGTGCCCTGTACCTTGTAGGTGTAGGTAGCCAGCTGATGACCTGCTTTCCTAAAGGAAAGTGACTTAAAAAAAAGTATTTGAGAGCCGTGTCCTGATCCACATTGCAGGTGCTTTTAAATTGTTTGTGTTATATGAATGCGCCGCATCAAGCAAATTGGATTGCGGAAGATGATACCGTTGCGTTACTTTCTTGACTGGAGGAATAGATGGCATCGACCTCGTGGATGTGATGGGAAATCTACTTTATAATGTGCGCAGATGGCTTTGTAGGTCAGTGGATACTGTATTTTTGGCTTGGTAAGGGATGAGCAGTTTCAGCACCGTGCCACATACCTTTGTCTTCTCTGCCGTTTGTACTTTGTCAGACTGGCCGTCGTGGTGTGGAAGCCAAGGGCGAGATAGCAGATATGATCCAAGACCTGCAGCTAGAAGACAAAACTAACTGGAAGGCGGCGGAACTGTCCGGTGGCATGAAGAGAAAGTTGAGGTAAGTTTGGAAATGTTGTGTCTCAACTCTCACGTAGAAGCCAATCTGCAGTTGTATGAATGTACCTCCTCCACGCTAAACATTATCCTAGTCTTAGGTTGCCTTTCCGTATTGGTATGTTGACCGAAAAAAAGAAAGAAAAAAAGAAGTAAAGTTAGCCGGATTCGCGGCCGCATCGACCAAGGCTGCCTACAATATTGTGTACAACACGTATGTGTGTATTCTCTCTTCTTGTGGAGTGCAACATTGTGTACACGTGTATGTGTGTTTTCTCTGTTTTGTGAAGTGCGATATTGTGTACATGTATGGTGCGTTTTTTCTGGCTGTTGTCCAGTGCAATATTGTGTATACATGTATGTATGGTGTGGTTTCTCTGGTTGTCGTGCAGTGTGGCAATTGCGCTAATTGGTGGCTCCAAGGTGGTTGTTCTGGATGAGCCGACGTCTGGCATGGATCCTTATGCCCGCCGCGCTACCTGGGACTTGCTGCTGAAACACAAGGAAGGACGTACCATGCTACTTACCACGCATTTCATGTGAGGTCCTGTGCTGTAATACTGCCAATAATTCATACTTGGCGTTGTGATATGAACTCACTCACATGTTCACCTTTGGTAGTCATAAACCTGCTGGGGGTGCCTACATGTAGACAAATTCTTGAATACTGTGTTTATGGTAGTGGGCTGTTTATGGTAATGGACTGTTTATGGTAATGGACTGTTTATGGTAGTGGGCTGTTTATGGTAATGGACTGTTTATGGTAATGGACTGTTTATGGCTGTGGACTGTTTATGGTTGTGGACTGTTTTGTGTTTTTGTATTTTGTATTTATATCATTATCTCATGGCACATCATGATGACGGCCAGTAAAACTGAGACAAGGGTGAAAGCCAACCACAGCAGTAAAACAGATAAAAGAATACAAATAAAAGGCAAAGAAGGCAAAGGAGGAGACAAACCAGCAGGATATACATGAAACCAATAATTGAGCAGAGATTTTAGCAACAAAATTAACCATCGACGTGCTGGTCTTGGCCTGCGTTGGTAATGTTGCCCAAAACACATAGCCAGCAAAGATCGGGGATCTAGTGAATAGGGTGGAGGCAGCGCGTGGGAGACTGAATGAGTTCCGGGTATTCCGTGTTTCGGAGAACCAATTATAAGCCTGCATATGCAAGGGTATTTTATTTAGTAATAGTTTATGGTTGTGGACTGTTTATGGTTGTGGACTGTTTATGGTAGTGGACTGTTTATGGGAGTGGACTGTTTATGGTAGTGGACGGTTTATGGTCGTGGACTGTTTATGGTTGTGGACTGTTTATGGTGGTGGACTGTTTATGGCAGTGGACTGTTTATGGCAGTGGACTGTTTATGACAGTGGACTGTTTATGGTAGTGGACTGTTTATGGTTGTGGACTGTTTATAGCAGTGGACTGTTTATGGTAGTGGACTGATTGGCATTAGTGTGTTGTAGTTCTGCTTTTGGATGACAATGAGCTCTATATGCAGCTTGTGGACACTTGATACGCTAACAGCCAGCCATAACATCTTGCTACCTGAATTCTGTGGTCCTGTTGTTGTTCAGGGATGAAGCTGATCTTCTTGGTGATCGCATCGCTATCATGGCCAATGGGCAGTTGGTCTGCAGTGGATCCTCTCTCTTCCTCAAAACTAAGTAAGCAACTCAGTGTGTGGAACGCTGTAAATTGATGAACATTGCAGTGTGATTACAAATTGAAGGAGGACAGGTTTTAATGGTCTTCTAAAATTGCTTCTAACGGGTAGACCTGCATAGAAAAGTATGAATTGAAGTCTGCTCGTCCCGACACAAGTGAAAGCCACCACAAGTTAGCTGGTTCTTTTCTTCTCTCTGTGTCTGTAGGTCAGTCTATCCTTCTCATTGTCTGCTCTGTAGCTCTCTTCGTTCTTGCCGGAATTTCACTGTCCCTTTTGCTAAGCTTGTACTTCTTGATGGTAGATGGAATATAATGCTGATCGTGTATATGTGAGGTGGTGGAGTATAATGGATATCCTATAGATATCTTTATGGGCCAGCCATAGTGTAAATACTGTCCAAGTGGCCACACACCTCACATAGACGTGCAACCCCTCACACCAGTAGCTCATATCACTGGTGTTGTGACTGAATGATGATCTATGTGTATGTATATGTCATGATATACCTGTGCCTGTGCCTGTGTGTATGTGTATGTGTGTGTGTGTGTGTGTGTGTGTATGTGTATGTGTGTATGTGTATGTGTGTGTGTGTTTGTGCATGTAGGTTTGGTGTTGGCTATCATCTGACTGTCGTCAAGAAGAATGACCAGACTGAGAGCGGGAAAGGTTGGTTGATGCTTGAGAACGAAAACTGCATAGCTTTTGCACAACTGGGTGGCAAAAACTGTATTTGTTGGAAGCACAACCTCATTATTCATTTTTGCATGAGAAAAAAATGATGTGAAGTAATTGGTGCACATGGATTTTATTATTTTGCTCTCTGCCTGTCTGTCTGTCTGTCCGTCTGTCTGTCTGTCTGTCTGTCTGTCTGTCTGTCTGTCTGTCTGTCTGTCTGTCTGTCTGTCTGTCTGTCTGCCCGTCTGTCTGTCTGTCTGTCTCCCCCCCTCTCTCTCTTTCTCTCTCTCTCTCTCTCTCTCTCTCTCTTCCTCCCTCTCCATATGTGTGTGTGTGTATGTGTTCTCTGTATGGGTTACAGGAGCACTGGTCAATTCCGTGACAAAGTTTGTGCCAGGTGGTCGTCTTGTCGGTGATATTGGTGCAGAGATGTCGTTTGTTCTCCCTCACGATGGTGTGGACAGCTTCTGTACTCTCTTCAGTGACTTGGAAGGTTGGTGAATGATTTCCTCGTAACACAATGGCTCTGATTTCCTATGTATCTCATTGTTCTGACATCTTCTCACTCAAAGGTGCCTCGGCTGCATCCTACAACTTTCCACTGCCAGGCTTATTCTCTTGTGTTGATCTGCTCTTCTGCATCTGTCTTCTACTTTTTTTGTAGCCAAGAGCGCTGAATACGGCATCAGCAGCTTTGGTGTGTCGGTGACAACCATGGAGGAAGTCTTCCACCGTGCCGGCGAGTCGGCTGACGTCACTCTCGAATCGAGGTAGGAACTGATTGAAGTCGTACAGCATTTACCGTCGGGGTCGAAGAATTCCCTGACCCTCTGTGCCCGGCCCTTGACTGAGATTTAAGTGGCAAAGTACTAGAAGCAGAGGTTATGCCACTGTTCTGCCCCTCCATACGAAGCATTTAAAGGGATGACGTAATTGCAATGCAACTATAGCGTGAACCAGCCGAAACGATGACGCAATCACATAAACACTATAATGCAAAGCATCTCAAGCGATGACGTAATTGCAAACTAGCTGCAGTGCAAAGCATCTGAAATGATGACGTAATCACCCAGCCAAGCTATAGTTACTGCAGGTTTTCTGTTGGACCTTCTAGGTATGCAGGTGGGTGCTGTGCTGGTGTTGTAGTGCCGTGTGCCATGATATGGTAATACGTGAAGGCACACAATGACCTTGTCTGATAATTGGTTCAGCCATGAAACTCTGAGTCGCAACGGAATTTGCCAAGGTTTTTATTGTGTGCCTTTGTGTACGACGGATTGCCGAAAACAAGTTCAGAGAAAGACACCACCTCGAGCGACACTTCACAGTACGGCATCTCGATGTCCTGGTAGCGTGTGTGTGGTATGGGCTGTGTGTAGCATAGGCGAATGAAATGCGGTTCAAGTTTTCTAGCAATTACAACAAAACACCAGGTGCATCCTTGCCCCTGCGACAACAGTCGTATTCTGTACCCCTGCGATATACGTGTGCCACAGACTGGAGAGAAGGAACTCGGTGGTCAAGCGACAATACTCGCAGCTGTCCTACGAACGTGAGGAGCACGACGCGGCAGACCTGCCCCAGCAGCCACAAGCTATGGAGAACATGGACATGACATCCGGTAAGCATATCTCAGTGGTGTGCCCTGAGTCGGGAAAGGTGGCTCCGTAGTTCTGAGTTTTATTGTTCGCTTTCAGAGGGTACCAGGTTCAAGTCCTGATGGGAACTCGTGGCCAGGCACTAGGGAAACATGGATGCGGCGAATGGGATTTTCGGTCTTTGACCACTTTGGTTGTGGGTCTCATCTACTTTATTTTCAAATTGCACATGAACGCAGTGGTAAATGTGCGTGTATGATGAAATTTGGATCGAGAAGTGCTGGCTCACGCTTCTACTGCCTTTCCGATTGTCACTTATTTTCCAGAAGGCGAAGGATCGGCTAGGACCTTTCACCAAACAAAAAATCTGAAAAATGTACCACTCCCCATTTCCCTGTGACGTCCCAGAGTGTCGTGTGCTATTCTCTTGTGCTGCTATCCGTGCAGATCTGCTGCAAGGATCGTCGCTCTGGTTCCAGCAGTTCCGCGGCATGTTCACGAAGCGCTTCCTGACCAGCATCCGTCACCCTACCGTCATTGTTCTACAGCTTCTCTTCCCGATCGTATTGACCATCTGTGCACTGCTCGTCATCAAGCTTGTACCTACTATTCGCTCTGACCCGGACCTCACGCTGAAATTCAGCAATCTCAAATTTACTCGTGCCTACACTGCTGATTATCGCGATTCCCCGACTTGCCCTGATCCTGTTTGCAAACGCACCCCGTTGAATACGGTACGTATTTCCATGCGTGTGCGGTGTGTGTGTGTGTGTGTGTGTGTGTGTGTGTGCGGTGTGTGTGTGTGTGTGTGTGTGCGTGCGCGCGTGTGCAGGCATGTGTGTGTGCGTGCGCGCGTGTGCAGGCATGTGTGCGTGCACGTGTGGGTGTACGTTGGTGTTGTATACATAGTGTTTGTGTGTGTGTTTTTTTGGGGAGGGGGACTTCCCCACTGCTTGCTTTGCGAAACATGGATTCCTAGCTCTTTATGATAACGATCGTAGCTGATGTCTTTATGATAATGGTTATGACATCCTAGCTGTTCCAAGTTTACCATTGTACCACCATATTTAGAGTGTAGAGGATAAGCAGATTCACACATCTAGTACAGATAGTCCATATACGGAACGGAAAGAGGTGGAGAAATTGACCAAATATGGATGGATTTATTCTTGAGGTCGTACATTCCCTCTACCCGATGTAATTTGGCAAGTAAATACCTATGGTGTTTGGCTAACTAGTGGTGGGGGTAAACTTTTGTGCCTTGCAAGCTGTTGACGGTGCCATCCCAGCACAAGTATCAGTTACTTAGTTACATTTTAGTTGTGTTTGGATTCTGCTGCAGCATCGCTATCACTGCCACTCACTGCCACTCTGGCTGTGGCCTCTTCTAAAGGTTGAAATGGTTTCCTGTTTGCACACACTCAGTGACTGTTGCCTTGCCTTGTCCTGTCCTGCCCGTGTGTCTCTGTTTCTAGTCTTCGCCTGGCTTTGGTTACCTGAGCAATCCATCCAACATCGAACCAATGGATATCACCGCCGACTCTGTGCGCTTTTCACCGGGCAACGCCTCGCCCGACTGCTGCAGCGAAAACTTCATCTTGCACGAGTCGTGCATTGCGGAACGTTACGCCAATGTGACCTATTTCGGTGGACAAGGCAATGTAAGAGCATCGTCCTGTTTCTCTCTTTCTTTTCTTGTTATTATGACTGTGTTGTGCTACTCTGTGTGACGGGCAGTTGAAAACGATGGTGTAGTTTAGCGATTGTAGTAAAATGCATGTTTTGCTAAGCCTCTTGAAAGGGACCTCGGATCAGCACTGTCTGTATTGGTTTGGAGTGGCCACTCCGGTTACCGTATTCATGGATGTGATAAATTGGGCATTCGGCACTTGTGCCAGTAGCTGCCCCCCCCCCCCCCCCCCCCCCCTCCACACACACACCTCAGCTCATAGTTAGGTCACGTGTCTGCCACTGGTGTTGGCACCAGTCGAGAGTTCTGTTGCCGCGGGAACGGAGACGGGAATGTTCTTATTTTTTCCTCGCCAAGTTCATCATCCCAGAATCAGGCTGGCTTAGAAATCGTTATTTGCAGTGTTGTGTGTTGCAGTGTTGTGTGTTGGAGTACTGTGAACGATTTTCCTTTGTTCTGAATCCGAACAAAGAAAGTCCCATGGCTGCTGAGTGATGTTGTTGTGTATCGTGTCGGAGAAAGGTCTTCTGGGGTGTCGTCGAGATCTCGTTGCGACCGTGACTCCTGCTGGCTAGGTGCTGCTTGCTTTGCTTTTTTGCGTAGTGTTTTTGATTATTGTTTACTATTGCGTATTGTTAGTGTTCGTTGTGATTTGGTACAGTACTTGTTACGAGATACGACACATTGTGTAGTGTGTGTTTGCAGCACGAAGAAGACTGCTCACCAGAACGGTTAGCTCAGGAGCTTGGGCTTACCTTGTGCAATCACAGTTCATCAGCTTGGACATTGCGCTTGGTCCCATGCGAATAACCGACTAGAATAGTAATTATTTCTTCGTTGCATTTTTGAATTGTGTTCTTGCTAGCTCGTTGACTTATTTATTTGATGCGCGATTTATGTGCGCTGATTGCGTGATGGCATGCAATTATGATCATGCTTGCGCCAGCTAGCTGGATGCCTGCGCCGCGCACTGATGTTGAATGAGTTAGTATGCGCCCCGCGCTGTTCATGCATATATGGTACATGGTGTGTAATGTTTGCCGCACACGCGTATACGTGCCTCGCCTCGTACTGCTTATGTGCCGCGCGCCGTACTATTGCTGTCGCTTTGCCGCCAAATTTAGCTTCCGCTTTCCGAGCGCTGTACGCTCTTCTGTACGCTCATGCCAAAGTTGGACGCACGTTGTGGCTGGCCAGCGCTTTACCCCTCATGCGTTGTTCGTTTCCTTGATGCTGTGGTTTGTTTTCTTTAGTGTTCTAGAGTTCTCTTTCCGATGTAGTTCGTATTTTTCCAGTCTCTTCTTCTCAATGTATTCTACTGTTCATTCATTATAGTCCGTAAAGAATTACGTGACCTTTTGTCTTGTGGCGTCTGTGCGATCCTGAAACTTTTGAGGTGTTAGTAGTGAACACAACAGATGTCATTCCGAGAACCCTAATCATGTCACTTGAATAAGGTTGATATGTCACTGGCATATATACCGGCATGGTCGGCACCCCATCCTCATGTTGCCTGATTATTGCGTAAGCATGAAACTTTGAGTAGCGGCAAACAAGCCTTGATTGTCCTTGTTGTTCTGTTGTTCTCTGTATTACGCTCTGCCTCCACGTTGTGTTGAGCACTGTCCGCAGCATACTGGGTACATCCTCCGGTCAGTTGAATACAAGAATACAGTTGCCATAATTATTGCATAGCTTCTCTGACCTGTGATTGTGGTTTGCGAACGTGCAGTTGGGAGTATTCTCGAGCTGTGGCGAGTCTTTTGGCTACAAGGAATGTAGCGTCTGTCTGAACGCACGCGCCACGCTCAATGGCCGGCGACGACTGGATACGGCAACATTGGCGAGAGAGTTCTCCGGATCGTAAGTACAATCTACAGGTTCAGGCTACCCACATGCAGAGCTAACCGTGTGTGTAAAGACCACTGCGACAATAGTCTACCGTATTCTCCCGATTGTAAGTCGCATCCCCATTTTCAGGTCCATGTTATACCGTCATATCGTCCTATTGTCGTATCGTTTCAAATTTCAATATATACCAACCAAAGCCAACGATAACCAACGATAACCAACAAAAGCATTGTACGATGGTCGCCAATAAGGAATCTGATAAAAGGGAAGGATCTACTGGCAGGGATTCGAACCCAGCATCATTGTCTGTCAAGCGCAGTGCCCCGTTGATTAGGCAACCGGGAGCATAATGATGCAGCCTGGCTCCTTTCTAATACGTAGAAATTGTGTGGCGGTGTGTGTGTGTAAAAAAAAGGGGATTCACTGGCCAGAAAAATCCACTTCATTCAGCTGTGTGGTGAGTACCAGGCTAAAAATCAGTGGCGGTCAATTCATCAGCCTTGCAAGCTGTTGAATGGTGTTAACCCAGCACAAGTTGATATGTCTAACATAGCAGTTCGCTATCATCGCTTCCGCGATGGGCAGGTCTGAGTCAGAGTGAATGTGTGTTAATTACCTCCACCCCATTATGTGTATCACTGCAGATGCGAAGACAATGACCAATGCCCGAGTGCTCCCACACTCACTGCTGCTCGCCGTCAAACCACATGGTTCCAAGCTAGGGTGCTTGAGGTAAGCAGGCGCAGTATGTCACTAGCACTATGTGTCTTTAGAAATCTCACATTCCTAGCATCTAGCTGAGAACTTTGCCCCAAAACACCATGTTTCTCGTTCGCATGCGCAATATCGGACAATGGCAGAAATTTTCGGGTCATAATACAAATATATTGACCTCGTGTAGGCCTTTCATGTCGCATGCTAGTGTCACTTTTCTGTACCAGGACTGGGTCCCCGGCTGGGAGGGCCCAGTCCCATTCATTACCTGTGGGTGTGCCACCCCTGTGTGAAGGACAACTGTACAAACAAGTATGGATGCATGCAAAATCTGAAAGTGCGCGGCTGCAGTCTGGCTGCGACGTAGCGCTTTCAAGCCCTATTTTTTCAGTCCCCGGGTCTATTATCCTGCACCACATCCGGGGGTGCCCGGGTCAACTACCCTGCCTCCAATCACGATAGTGCCCGGTTCAATCTCCCTGTCCCTGATCACACTATGTTATTGTTCGACTCCAGTCTGTCACAACCAGTCAATTGAGATGCCATGTCTTGTATCATTGTATGTTTGCCATACAGAATGCCAACACGGGTGATTACTTCAAGGAGTGGCAATCCGGATACTCATTGCACTCAGGTGATGGCAGTGACTTGCCCGATGCGGTCAGGGGCGATGGCCGTGCCATGGACATTGAGGCGAACTGTTATCAAGGTATGGTCATCGGCTATGAACTATGAACGTAGTGTTTTGCTAACTAACAGCGCGGCGGACAGCGCAGGGCTGACTGGACTGTCATGCTCAGTGTTGCTACTCACGTCATGCTCAGTGTTGCTACTCACGTCATGCTCAGTGTTGCTACTCACGTCATGCTCAGTGTTGCTACTCACGTCATGCTCAGTGTTGCTACTCACGTCATGCTCAGTGTTGCTACTCACAGTTACACTTTTCTTCTTCTTGCAGTGTGCGTATTTGTCGTGATGTGTTGGTAGTGTAGTGTGCGGATGCTCGCTTGTAACACACACACGCACACACACGCACACACACGCACACACACGCACGCACACACACACACACACGCACACACACACACACACACACACACACACACACACGCACACACACACACGCACACTGTACTGTACTGCATTGACAGCTACCCTAACGGGTCACGCCGCCCTCCACCCAAGCATGGGTATGATGAGGGGCAGTGGCAACA